GAAGAATTTTAAATTTGTCATTAAAAGAATGATTATGATCTAGAAGGTGAAGTGGGTATGTCGAATCTGTTTTTCTATTCTTGAAAGCCCTTTTATGTTCTGCTATTCGTTTATCAAAGTTTCTACCAGTTTGACCGATGTAAGCTCCGTCATATAAACTTTCAAAAAAACTGTTTTAGAGATTATTTTAGAACACACTAAATTTTCACCTAAATTTACCATAAAAAATACAATAGAACTAGTTAATAAAATACAACATTTTCAAGTACCTAACAACTCCAGATTAATTTCATTTGACGTAAAAAATCTTTTTCCTAGTATCCCTCCTACAGAAACTTTTATTCTAGTAAAAAACCTTTTAGACCAAAATAGTACAAATCCAATAATTACATCTGAAATTTTACATCTTCTTGAAGTTTGCATAAACCAGGACTACTTTGAATTTAATAATAAAATATATACAAACAACAGTGCAGGACTTATAATGGGTAATCATCTAAGCCCATTGCTATCAGATATTTTTATGGATCATCTAGAGACAAAGATTTCAAAACATCCCGTATTTAAACAGTTTTTATATTGGTGGAGATACGTAGACGACGCACTGGTATGTTTCACAGGAACTAATAGGTAACTCGACCAATTTTTATCGTATATTAATTCACTTCATAGTCATATTGAATTTACAATAGAAACAGAACAAAATTAATACATAATTTTTTTAGATTTAAAAATTAGCAGACTTCAAAACAAACATGACTTCTCCATATTTCATAAACCTACCCATACTGACACGACTATACACAATGCATCATCCCATCCAACACAACATAAACTGGCAGCTTGCCATAGTATGCTACATAGATTAACAGAAATTCCTTTGTCAAAACCCAACTTTGAGACAGAATTAAATATAATTAAGCAAATAGCAGTAAATAACGGATACAACGAACAAACAATTAATAAAATGTTAAATCAAAAACTACACAAGAAAGCCTTGAAATTAGTATTTCCACCACCAGAGAAAAAACCCAATACCTTCTGCTCAATTACATTATTACATATACAGGCAAAATAACAAAAAAAATTGTCAAAAACATAAAAAAGAAAGGAATAACACCAGCTTTCCGAACAAATAACAATCTAGGCAAATATATTAAAAATAACAAGAGCCAGAATAAAAAACACTTAAATAGTGGTGTGTACAAACTTGAATGTGACGACTGCCCAAAAACTTACATCGGTCAATCTGGTAGAAACTTTGATAAACGAATAGCAGAACATAAAAGGGCTTTCAAGAATAGAAAAACAGATTCGACATACGCACTTCACCTTCTAGATCATAATCATTCTTTTAATGACAAATTTAAAATTCTTCACAGTCAAAATAAAGGCCTTAAGATATCTTTGTTAGAATCTATGGAAATCAACAAATTAAAAAACACAGATTTAATTCTGAATGACCAACTTGAGACAAACAGTTCTCCCCTCCTCAACCTATTTCATTAGACTATAAATTTGTAAACCCAAGCCAAAAAGAGATCACTTGAGAAAGGCAATCAGCCGAAACAGCTGTAGTGATGAGATTTAAAATAAATTTTGTGGAAGTTTGAAAACAAAGTTTTCAGTGTTTTCTTGTTACATAAAATGAATTTCCATCAAGTAACGGTCGAATCCATCAATTATTTAAAAAATCTATTCTTCTTAAATTATCACGTGTGATACATAGAAGTATACTTAACTTACCTCAGTGTAAAACATGTATTATGTGATTGCGAGGCGCTGGATCGTAAAAAACAAAAATTTTATGGACAACAAACAGGAGACAATGAAATGATCAGAAACAGATCTAAAATCAGACACCACCGATTGGGCATGTAGCAAATTAAACTGAAAAGATTTCATAGAATAACTGAATGAGTAAAAGAATGAATAAGAATGAATAAAAGATTAAAAGAAAGAAAAAAAATATAGAAAAAACACCATTTAAAAGAGATAGATAATAAGTTTATTATATTAATGGCTTCTTTGCTAATAAGTTTCTAATAACATTTAATCTCTTTTGGGGGAATAAACTAACACAAATTTGAATCTTTTGTCAAATATAGAATTTATGCTAAAACGTTTGGCATATAATTTAAATCACCTAACCAATTATACACTATTCTACCATTGTCACAATTATTTACTTAAATGAAGAGTTTGACGGTACACCTATTAATAGTCCAACTATTACTATTAAACCTTAGTTCTTATAGTGATGGATTTATTTTTGTGAAAATTGTTTTTAAACAAAAAATAAAGGTAAGCTTTACTTAATTCAAGTAGGAATCTAGTAGAAGTAAACATAGACAGACTACAGAAATGCCTATATATTAAAATATATTATAAATTTCAAATAAAACTAGTAAAATAATATTTTTCCGCAAATCGCCAGGAAATTTTGACATTCCTGTCAAAATTTCTTGAAGAAAAAGTCAGGACTTCCTTACTGTAAGGAAATGTCATTTCCTTACTGTAAGGAAATGATATTTCCGTACAGTTGTTAGTGTTCTACATAAAGTTTGACAATTCAACCTCAATACGTTTCCATAGTAACCCAAGTAATTTTATTAGGAATTTCAAAGCACCATTTATTTGGGAATAAAATTATCGCGTTTTTTTTTAAATCAATCAATATCTGTCGAATTTTAAACGATTTGCGGAAAAATAGTATGTTTACCTCGTAGGAAAAGCCACATTCCTGGACTCTGTGTTGCTAAGTCTCGGCTTGCGCCTCGACTTAGCAATCTTCACAGTCGTCCAGGAATGTTAAGCTTTTCCTACCCGGTAAACAATATACTATTATTAAATATCTTGTTAAAAATCTGCCACATTTTTTTAAAATATCACATCTTAAGAATAAATAATTTATATCCTTAAGATAATTAGTAAGTGCTTCTAAAATTAAACTTCTCCAGTAAATATACTGGAAAATATTGGTATTCCTATATAATATTATTATATACTAGAATGACGTATGATGTTCTACTAAAATGCTTTTGTTTTGTCACACCAAAAATATTCTATGCGGATTTATAGTAGAAGCTATAGTATTGTGTTTGCGACTCAGTAATACATATACTTCGGCCAAATCATTGATTTTTCCTTTCTTGATATATTCGTCATTTCCTCCCCTTTTATTTACAATACATGTATTGTAAATAAAATTAATAAAATTATAATTAATAATAATTAATAAAATAATACATTCTTTAAGACAATAAATCAAAATTTGTCTTATAGTAAATCTATTTTTATCCATAATGCCCATGTTGGGATTCGATCAGATGTTTACTTTGTACTCAATCAGAGGCCTTCTTTAAGTCAATAAATTAAAATTTATCATAAAGTAAATCTATTTTTATCCATAGCGTCATCTAATTTTTCTTATATCGTTATACGTTCATTAATAACGAAGTTACTGTGTAGTGCCCTTTTGGTAGTTGCCTTGTTTGTTATTTCTATCTTAATATAATCCCTATCCCTAAGTATCACATGTTCCACCAATAACAACGGATATATATATATATATATATATATAATATCTTCAAGATATTCTTATATATCTAGATCTTCAAGAGTTACAGTGTAAAAGCAATTTCCACCCCGTTTCCATTGTTTTATCACTGCTTAATGAGTTTGAAAGTTGCTACTTCTTATGGATATATATTGTTCTAAAGCTATTTTCTTATTATTGAAATATTTTAATAAATGTAAATGGCCATAACCTACGCTTTTTTAACTAATTTCATATATCTTTTCAAGAGATACTTTAAAACATTTTTATATATATTTTGTTTATTTTATCATGCTTGACTTTTATCACACTGACTTTTTTACCCCAGTAAACACATAAATATTGCGTTTTGCTTTTTATTTCAAACCATTTCAATTTACTCGTTTACGTAGATTAATGTTAAATACCAACGGTTTCCTTAATGGAAAAATAGCTAACGAACACCTACAGTTTCAGGAAACCTCCATGAAGATCCCTACGGTATTAATTCTTTGATATTTACCGTTATTGTTAATCGAATACTTCCCGACTAAGATTTATATTTCATTTAAAATAATAGAATGACGCCTCGGGTTTAGTAATATCTTACAAATATGGTTGTTTTACTTGGATTGGAACGTGACAGATAGTAAGTGAATAAAAAAACAATTTTAAATCTATGAATAATTTATGTACACAACTGCACAGTTTATGCACAATAGGGTGTATCATAATAAATACTCAAATAATGAATTTTCGAAATTCAAACTTTCAAGTTGATAAAAAGTTGCCTCTTATATTACTCTTTCAGGGAAAAAAGTTTCGTTTTAATTAAAACATATTTAGGTCTCCCGGAATCGACTTAAACTTTAGAATTTTTTCTCAAAAACACGATTTTTCATCTTTTTTTTTTTATTGAGAATTAAATTTTATATTTTTATTGTCAACTTAAAAAATATTAAGTACGTGATAACAGTGAACAATAAAAATTAGGATAACATCTGTAACTAAGCATAAAGTCACCCGGAATCTTTATGAAAATCTCAATTGTAACAACGAAAAATCAATATCTTCTCTTTATTATGATTAGGTGTTAAACCTGTTTGTTGCTTCTACTTAGGTTAGTAGGATTATTAGTATTCTATAACATAATTAATGAAAAATAAATTATATATTTACTTATTTAAACTTTAAGATCTTTTATGTTAAAACAATAAAAGACTATTTTTGAGGCACGAAATTTATTAAAGAAATACAAAAGTTTACTTAAAGATTACAGATATTAAACAAATCCAGTTAGCCTTCAAAGCCACAGGTATTGTAATGCTTCCTCCTTCTGGAACCAAGGGAATTTGTTAGGGCGAGTGTCAGATTGTAATTATAGTACTAATACTAAGTTACTATTCAAAGTAGAATGCTGTTATGTAATCTTAAATAAGTATGTAGTAAATCTTACTGTAATTTATTTTTGCAATACAGCTGTAGCAAATGTGTACTGTCGCTTAGTTTCAAACTTAGGAAGATACTTTCTGTCCAATAATCCTGATCTTATAAAGCCTTCTCGTTCTTGAACGCCAAAAACGTGCTTAGAAGCTGCAGTAACTTCCTTTACAACTCGTTCTACCGCTTGAGTGTGAAGTGGTATTTTGAACTCTTTTCTATCACTGCTTCCTGAATTAACAATCATCTCAATCTCTTCTTTGCTGAAGTCAGCCATAAGTGGTGGTTTTGTAACTCTGGTGGATTGCCAGTCAATGAGATTGATGTAGTCTTCTGTCTCAAAATTAACTTGTGGTGGTTTGAAGACTCGATGTGCCCTTGTTTCTGTCTGTCGAGCTTTTTCTATCCGTTTGCCTGCAAAAGCTCTTATATGTTTTAGAGAGTCAAACAACATCCCTAAAAGGATGTGTTCAGAATGAGCCATAAAGGCGTTTCTTTGCAAGGAAGACTTAGCCACAGCCTTCAGTTCTTTCAATTTTCTTGGACTTTTAATTTTGTTTCTTAGAGGAGTTATTTTAGAACCTTGAACTTTTTCATCAGGCCTACTTGATTCTTTTTCCATGGATTCATCATCAGAGTCACTACTAAGAATATCCACATTTATTAAATCAGGTGAAGTAGTTAGTTCCACATTCCTACTTAATTTAGATTTCAGGGACTTTTCCTTTCGTTTGTTTCGTGTCTGTCTCTGTCTCTTTCAATTTTTTTAGTCTCTGCTTGGTCAATACCTCCGATCATCATCCTCAAGTTCCGTTGGTCTGTCAAGAATGCATGTTCTAATTTTGGTACTTTATTTGGAGCTGGGCACAAACATTTGTCTAGTTCGCTACATTTGCATCAACAAATATCAAAAAGACTATTATCAATGTCAGATCTAAACTTTTCAACTGCAACTTTAAAACTCTTGTCATTTTTTGTATTACAACCTGAAGATTTTTTAATCTTTTCACACCTCTTATGCAATAGTAGAATCATAAAAACAATATTGTTAGTAGATGAAACAGGTATTGATAATTATTTCCAAATTTGCTCTAACTTATGTGTCACTCGCATTGCAATTAACTTTTTCTGTGGTTGGTAACATCCTTCAGATTTTAACTGATTTCTCACCCATTCAAAATACCTCAGCACGTCACTTTTAGTAGGTAAAACATTAATATCACTAATGTCAAGAGGCTGTCCGACTATAGGAGCTTCAGTGCATTTCCTCGTTGTTATAGTGTTTGTCTTTTTACTCATGATAGAAACAAAACCACACGGAATTCACAAGTCATAAACCACACACACTAAAAAAAACACACTGAAATATATGTAATAACGCACAAACCACGTGCTGTCATATTGAACGGTGGAGTCAGACTCACAGAAACAAAGGGTGTGAGTGAGTGGTGGAGGGGAGCTATAGACGCCAGACATCCGGTGACTCAGAAGTCAGTGCCATCTGCCGGTCTCCAAGATCAACTTCTGCTTAGCTGACGGACTTAAGTTTTGACCCATACAGCACTGTAATGATTGTATTATAATTTGTTTTTACTGTTTCTGACTCATGTCAAACTTGAATTAAATATGAAAATTGTGATATATTTAGGGTAATTCCTGGTTAGCTAAATAATTTAACTCAGAACCAAAATGTTTTCTATGGATAAATTAAATGTAAAAATACACATTTTTTAACTTGATTACATCATTTGTAATTTATAAAATGTGTAAATTATTTTTTCAAAAACGTATTTTTTTTACAAAGAATTATAAACTTTTTGTACATTCCGGGAGACTTAAATATTGTTGGAATTCAAAAAGATTTTTTTTTTGGAGATCCACGATAGTAGTAACAACTTTTTATCAACTTGAAAAATTAAATAATAAAAAAAATTTGTGATACACCCTAATGCACACAACTGCACAGGCGCGCTTTTTTCTACAAAGCTTTAAAGTTTTTTTCTATTACTTCTTTTGTGGAAGTGTTGGTTGTAATTTATTATTGCATTTTTCTTAAATGTCTTTCTTTCTTTATTACCCCTTACCTTGCGAATCTGTCGCTAATATCGCTCTTTTCTTGTTTTTAATCGATTTTGAGTATATTATATGACAAAATCAAAGAATTATGATCCCTTAAAAATTTATTAAATTAAAAAACTTAAATTTAATTAACTGGTAACTCAACCTACAGTATTTAAAGCCAACAATCATTCTTCAATTTTTCACAAATGATGGTCAATTAATTTTTGCATTTAAAGTGTCCTCTGGTGATAGTTTTTCTGATCACTCGCTTATTACAGCTCACATTCAATTTAGCTTAACTTCTTCTTCTTCTTCAGCAGTAAGTAATCCAACTTTGGACATAGGCCTCCTCCAAATCAATCCAGTGTCCTGGATTGATCTTCTGGATCTACTTAATATCATCCACCCATCTCATTTGTAGTCTTCCTCTAGTTCTCTTTCCTAACCATGATCTTCATTGTTGTATTTCGTGGTTTCATCTCTTATCCTTCAGTCGTTCATTTATTCATTCAGCATGTTCTACTGCGTCTTTCACTTTCGTTTTGCTTCTAATCCATTTGTTTGTTTTCTTATCTATAAGTCTCACTCCGAGCATTGATCTTTCTATCTCTCTTTGTGCTTTTACTATTTTCTTCATATTAGACTTGGCGAGTGTCGTCGTCTCTGAACCATACGTCAGTATAGGAAGGATACACTAAAGGTAAATTCTGGTTTTTCAAATATTGTTCTACCTTAGTGCTTTTCAAGATACAACTCCGTTTTTCACATCCTGCCCACGCTAACCTTATACACGTCTCTCAGTCCAAGTGTAAATAGCTTTGGTGAGATAACATATCTCTGACAAACTTCTCTGTTGATTGGTATAGCATTATTTTTCGCATCTATTTGTATTTTCATTGTAGCTTTCTTGTAAATATTATGTATGAGCATTCTGTATCAGAAGTCTATCCTGCAGTTGCTCATAGCTCTCTCTATTGCCCAAAGATCCATGGAGTCGAATGCCTTTTCATAATCAACGAAGCCAATATATAAGTTCGAATGATATTCATTGACTTTCTATATTAGAGTTCTGACTGTAAGAAGATGATCCGCTGTACTGTAACCCTTTTGGGTTATCAAATAATCTTCCTGGTGTAAATATGGAGAATATTTGGTTTCAACAATCCGACTGTTCAGTTCCCAACGCTCAAATGATTAGGGAGTATTTAAACAATACTTTCCTAAACCACTATGAATTTTGTTCAGAAACTTTAAGGATACTTTCTCCAAAAACAGTTTAGAGCAATTAATATTGCTGCGGAAAATTGGTAGGTTCAGTGCTTCGCTTTCTCGCCTATTAGTACCATCATTAACGTACAGTATTTGGCATGTCGATTTTCACTTCGGAAATCGGTTTCAAAATGTGTATTTTAAAAACGATTTCCTAATAGCGGATGCCAATGATGAAATAAATTTTACTAAAAACACTTTTACAAACACTAATAAATCTTCTGTTTCTTTAGTTGGAAAACACAATCCTTTAATTACGAGATATTGGGTGCGGAAAAACCAGCACAGAAGTGTTATGTACCGAACTCAACATTCTCAAACAATTAACGGCTGGACTGTCATTTTAGAAGACCACATAATAGGTTAATGTTTATTGAGGCAACTTACATAGTACAGTATACCTCGATTTGTTATATAATCATGTTCTTCTTGCTATTCTCAATCTTTCTTATGTAAATGTGGAGAATGTTTGGTTTCATCAAGATGGCTATTCAGTTCACAACGCTCGAATAACTAGCTTGAGTTATCAGTGAAATAGGCGATATTAAATAGGCAGCGTAATCTCCAGATCTTACACCCATGGACTTATTTTTTGGGTGCATTTAAAAAGCATAATCAGATGCTATAGCCCCAAATTCGGATGAATTAAAAAATCGAATAAAAGAATTCTCCAATTCTATTACAGCAGAAACTCTTTCATCTATCAGCAGAAGTTTTTATGACAGATTGGGGTAGTGTTCAGCCGTAGAAGGTCAAATATTTAAATCATTTCTGTAGGTCATAGAGAATAATTATTCGTTAGTTTATTGGGAATTATTTTTTATTTTCAAGAAGACTATAGTTTTTGTTTTATCTATATATACACCCTGTATACTGGTTCCAGTTTTGTACTGGATATAAATAGACTTTTTATACATAAATAAAAAAACTATGATTTTTTAAATTATTAAAACTGTCAAATAATTTAACAGCTAATTCAGAAGAAAGTAAAAAAAATAATAAATTAATTATAATCTTTAATTAATTACTTTTAATTTAATTTATTTGCAGGTTTATGGGCAGTCGGCAGCAGCTCACGTATTAGGTGACGAATGTAACAGCGATTGGGAATGCAGAGAAGATATAACTGGTTCAATTTGTCATCGAGGAAGATGTGCTTGTCAACCGTTTTACGCAAGAGTCAATCAGACCACATGTTTACAAGGTAAAAATAGCCAATTGTATATATTAAAAAAACAATTTCTTTAGAATTAAGTTTTTTAGCAACTCTTTGGTGATTTTTAATTTTAGTATTCGATATTTTACTTAGAGAACTTTACATAAGGACTCTTTATTTATTAGTTTAAAGTTTTTTAATCTAATACAAGTTTTGGTAGAGGCTAATAACAAAATAAATAAAAGCAATAACAAAAATTAGTGAAACAATCTTCGACAAGTAGTTCATTGTCCTTACAGCCAAAATAATACAAAGACTATCGGTCTAGGGATCCTAAAGCGACTGTGTGATGTTGGGAAATCTAATTTGCTTTCATTCTGTCAGCCAACAAATAATTCTTCTTTTGGCCCCTGCTAGGTCTCTGTTTCGACGGTGTTGCAGTGTACCATTGTCTATTATTTTTCCTCTTTGCGTTTGTCATGTTCCCTCATTTTTCTGAGATCTGTTTTATTTTGATGTGGTTGTCTGTCATTTACATCTGTATTTAAGTTATTGTTTCTTTATTCTACTTTTTCCCTGTTAATTTGTGTCGAAGTGGTACATTTTCGAAGTTTCTATTTAACGATGGGTCTCTTTTTCCTTAGCATTTGTAGTTACTCCTGCTAAAGATGTATGGAATCTTGCTGTTGGGGGGATAGTTTTAATCCTCTATTCCTTTGGACTTTTTGTTAATATGATTACTGCAATTTATTTTTATTAATATTACTATGATTAGTATGATTACTGCATTTACTTTTACATATTTTTATTATTCTTGTCTCTCTCTATATTTCTTTTAACTTATTCTTGATATCGTTCATCAGATTATTGTTTGTTGTATAACCACTCTAGACATAGTTTTGCATTCTGAGACAACTTGACTTTAGGAATAAATTTTTTTGTCACATTTTTATTGCATCTATGAATGCTTTAATCGAATCTTCATTGTATCCTATACACGGGATGAGAATTCCATCTGATCTTAAATTAAATTTTCTCCCATCGTATCGGCAAAATTTTCTTTTTTATTGTAATTCCAATTGTATGGAAAACAATTTCTCAATGGAAGAATAACAAAATAAATTTACATTCTTGGCACCAATTCAAGCGACTATACCT